AGCACCCATCACCAAAGTTGCACTGACTGGCCCTGGCTCCTTATGGTTTCCAATTTCTCACTGGCAGGACAGGACAGTTCTCCAGCCTTTGTCTCTCATGACCTGGATTCTTCTGAGAAGTATAATAATATAATAATAATCATGGAAACCCCCAAAGAGGCTCCATTGAAAAGTGCCTCTGCAGTTAGTTCCCAGGACATTTGGGAGGAGCCTGAACCAGACTTTCTTGCAGGAAAAATATGCAGTCACCAGCTGAGCAGATGGGGGAGGGTCGGAACGTGGTTGGTTGGAGCAGGCCTGCCCCTCCCCCACCCGGGCTTATAGATAAATGGAATTTTTAATTTTTTAAATCTCTTGTCTCCTTCCACAGCACCAAGCTTCTAGCTACCTAGATATCCAACCTCATTCACAAAACCCTCTGAGGGGGTGAATGCCTAAGTTGACTCATCAGACCTGATTAGAACTAGGAGCAACTAGCAACCATGGTCTCCAACCTTCCTGGAATTTTACATCAAGACCACGTTACTTAGCTTTCTCCTGCTAAGGTAAGGAAAGTAGCATCCTCCCTATCAGGGTCCACTTTGTCAGTAGCACAGATCTATGTGGTGCTATATCACCACCTAGTGTTCAGAGTAACACAGTGCAGCCATCTACCCCTATAGTTCCTGCCCAACACTGGGAGTGTAACAGGTTCACAATCTTCCAGAAGCAATACACAAAGACTTGGCAAGTGCGCTCTAATTGTCCAGAGTGACAAACCAGATTCAACAGGGGAAAGCTCTGGGGTCTCACAACTCCTCCTCTCCTTTTACTGTGCTTTGTTTAGTTACTGATCATTTCTAGTACTTAACCTTCTACAAACGCATGAGTGCTGGATCCACAGTACGCCCCAAGAGCATGTATTCCTTCTCATCCTCTATACAGATGGTTCTCAACCTGCGGGATAACATATCAGATATACTGCATATCAGGTATTTACATTACGATTCACAACAGTAGCACAATTACAGTTATGAAGTAGTGATGAAGTAATTTTATGGTTGGGGGTCACCACAACATGAGGAACTGTTTAAAGGGCCGCAGCATTAGGAAGGCTGAGAACCATTGCTCTACATTCTTTTCTAAACTAAAATCTTCCATGTCAACCTGAAATGATCAGAGGACACTTCCTGAAAGGTATGACATTTGCTAAAGAAAAAAACAGGCAAACTGTGACTTCTGGGAGCCACCTGTGAGTGGGAGCAGGAACTCTGACAGTAATCGCCTTGGACACCAGCTCCTTCACCCTCCCCCTCTCCTTTCTCCCACATACTGAGTCTGGCTCCTCTGACCAGCTGGAGGCCAGCAGGACCTTCAGTACCTCCCTGTGCTCCACTGCAGCCCAGATGCCTAACAGGCTGCGTGCTCTTACCAGCCAGTGTCCACGTGTGTGCTGAGCACACCAGCTTCTGATCGGTTCTTCTTTGCTTATCAGGTCTTTCCTCACCATCTTTTCTGTACCCTTACATTAAACTGGCATTGTTAGCATCATTGTCTTTTTCTTTATCCGGACTGACACCGTCTCTGAATTGTAATACTTAGTTCACATGTGCTTGATATAGGCATTGCTGTTTCAAGCTATCAACCTAGTTTTCTCTTTGCTTCTATTTGTTCTATTTTCCTGTCTCATTTTTGGACTGTTCTTTTGGGTTATTTGTATCATATTCTATTATTCCTCCATTCTTGTAGAGAACACTATAGAAACTGAAACATGGTACTGCTATAATTAACTTGTGTATGCTTTCATGTGTGTGCACCTTCTCTGTTTTCAAGACTACTCAAGAACTTAAGATTAGCACTTGGCTCCCGAACTCTATTTTTGTACCAAAAATAGAGTTATAAAATTTCTACTCAGCTTCCCAGCCTTACATCAACAAGTGCCAATCACTGTTCCCAGCTCTGGAACACTTGTCTTTCTTTCTTGACAGCCCTGGGAACATGGTGATAGATGAATATACTATGACTTTTCTTGTTTTCACAAGAGAAGAGAAGGGTTGGTGTGAGACAAGCTCATCACAATTTGCTCAGAGCTAAGAGCCCCCAGATGCCTTATTTGTGCAACTGGCTAATTGAGGAGTGCAAGGTAGTATAAAAAAGCAGGACAGAAGGCAGTGGTGTACCACCTGCATGATTTGGGGCAAGTTATTTAATTAAATGTGGTATTCTCATCTGAAAACAGAATACTGGAAGTTACCCTGTTTTAAACATTTTAAAAATGAAGTACACTTAGAACAGGTGTGCTGTTTAGTGTCTTGTCAACTTGACACAAGCTAGTCGGTTATCTAAGGAAGAGAAGCCTCAACTGAGAAAATGCCTCAATCAGCCTACCTGTAGGCAAGTCTGTAAGGTAGTCTTTTGATTAGTGATTTTTTTGGAAGCACCCAGCCAGTTGTGGGTGGTACAATTCTTGGGCAGGTATCCTGTGTGGTATAAGCAAGCTGAGCAAGCCATAAGGAGCAAGGCAGTAGGCAGGCATCCTCAATAATCTGTTTCTGTTCCTGCCTCCAGCTTCCAATCTTCAGTTCCTGTCCTGATTTCCATTCATGACGAAGTTTTAATATAAAATAAATCTGTTTCTCCCCAAGTTGCTCTGGTCATGATGCTTATCACAACAACAAAAATGTAACTAGGACAGCAGGTATATGGCATATGTTTGAACATCAGCAATATAAGCATTCTAGCTAATTATTTTTATCATTATGTAACTGGTCAAGATGGCCCAACAACGGCCTATTCTTCTATGCTTCTTCCATGAGAATGGCGACTGGTAAAGGCCATGAATGTTCGGCTTTCCTACCTGCCTCTTCTGTAGCCTTGGCTCACTCAGGCTTGAGCTGCTGCAATACATACTCTGAACAGTGTGTGCAAGCAGTGGCAGGCTTTTTGTAAAGTAGGTCAGAACTCAGCAGCACGATTGGGAAGTAAGCTTTGACAAGATGTCTTCCAAACTGGTCCCCTACAGGAGAAAAACAGCCTGCCAGTGACCTGGTCATGGATGCCCTTGCACAGACTGGCCCACATGAGCATGCACACTAATGACTTCCCCTTGGGCTAACCTGGAGTCTTTCACCATGCTTGGAGACCACTGACACGGGTTGCCTGATCCACGGAAGCAATAGGAGTCCAGCACCACAGACTCATTCACTGAAGTCAATGGGAAGCAGGACAGAGGGTATATAAGCAAGACTGATTTTCACAATAAACGAGTCTGCAGTTATATGCTTTGTTATTCCGGGTGTCTATGCCATTGACTCCGTGCTTTCTCACCCCCTCAACCAAGGGGTGTCCAAGCAGGGTCGCCTACCATAATCCCCAAGACTGGGACCTATGGAATGTACCCATAAATATAGAGCATGGGCAGCTGCATTCATGAGTTTACTATAGGAAGAGACAAGTCTTCAGTAGACCTGAAGCTTCACTGTGCCAGGCAGAGTCCTAAGAGTCCTGGCTAGGAAATAAGCTCCCAAGTTCAGGAATAGAACACCCCAGTGATGGTTCTATACTCTCTTTAAGAGGACAACTCCCATAGTCCCCACAGGGACCTTTAAGAAAAGGTTTGCATTGCTCCACAATAGATGCATTCAGGAAGCATTATCATGAATTCCTATTCTATATAATGTTTCTAAATGTCTAAATATTGGGATATTCAAAGTGCAATGTACATGTAAGAAGTGAGACACAAATAAATATGCTTTGTGCCCACCCTACGGAAGTTGCCACCACTTTGCATTTGCATGGCTTGAACCAGCTGGCCCCACTGGCTTCCCCGACAACATGCTGGTGAAGAGCCCATTAGCCAGAGCCTGGTCCAGTTCTGCAGCTCCAGTGCCACCACTCAAGATTCAACAGACACAAGGTTGCCTCACCACAATCTACTAAAATGTGAGGTGAAAATCGAGTCTTAACTATGAGACAAAACAACAACAACAAAACCTGTCACTGAACTACACAATTGTGACTCCAAAAATGGTCTATATCCCATTATTGAGATGTCTATTTTCAGTAGTGATGGTGGAAAGAGCCAGAGAAACCAGTTACTATTCTGAGCAGTGTCTTCAACTCTGCAGACCTTTTGCCCTGCACATATAACCTTTCACTGGAAAAAACCTAATCTCTTCTGTCAATGTGAAGAATATAAAGAGACCTTGGAAGCACTCTCGAAAAACACATCCTCATTGTCACTACTCTCCACTTGGTTTTAGACCAGTCTCTGCGCTTCAGTACAACCTCTTTGCTGTCTGAAAACCATCTTTAAGCACCATGGTCATTTGGCAATCACAGGCCCCTCCAAACACAGCTGACACTTGACTAGTTTCTTTTGTGGTTTTTTTGTTTGGTTGGTTGGTTGGTTTGGGGTTGTGTGTGTGTGTGTGTGTGTGTGTGTGTGTGTGTGTGTGTGTGTTTGTTTGTTTTGTTTTTTGTTTTCTAACCAAGACTTATTGAAAGCAAGGCTGACATGAGAAAATTAACAACATGGAGAAAATAATTAAAAATAACAACACAGTTACCACTCCTAGAAGCCACAATTGTACCTTTCTCAAGGCAAAGCTGACAAGCATCTTTCTCCTGAGGCTCTGCCTGGGCTGAGACACAAGAAGGCTGTTCATTTCCCCCTTCAGGATCCCCTGTAACTACGGCACCCTGACAACAGTACCCCAAAATGTTGTACCCTCAACCGACTCCACAGCTCTTCTCTTTAGTTTCCAACAGAAGGAAATAAACTTAACAAGAGTTTCAATAGTTATGCATTCTTCTGCCACTACCCTGTAGGTGCCTCAGGCTCAAACCCAAGGAGTACTTCTGTCAGTATGAGACTACCTAGAAACTAACAGGTACCCTTTAGAAAGGAAGAAAGCCAAACTGGTCGGGAAGACATCTGTCCATCCAAACTTGTAAAAAAAAAAAAAATACTTCTGTATGTCAATTAGTATTGAAGAACTTGAATAAATATCCCATAAGGCTATTTATCATAATTGACTTTTTATTTAAAAAATTACAGGGGGCAATTTCCAGCATAGTTTATAAAAGTACTGCCATATCAAACATTTTGTATCACTTCATTCCAATGAAGAGCTGCCTTTTTTTTCTTTTAAGATACTAATTCCAACTGATACGACATGTGTCCTTAAAATAGAAAGTTTCCATCATTTATTCAAATGTCAAAATTAAGATTTTTGAGAAGTTTATTGCTTTATGGGTGGGCAAGATGCTACTAGCACATTTTAGGTAAATAAACTTCTTTATTAAAAACTATGAGGTCATTTCTGTTTAAAACTTTCAGGATAATTCACAGAAAATAGATATATTTATTCAAAGTACACACTGAAGGGTTGGCTATCTAGCTATGGACATTTAAAGGTGTAGCAGCTCTTTAAAGAAACAACACACAGTGGTTCTGCTTGGCGCACTACACATAATTGAAATGAATAAAACTGGAAGACCAGTACTGTTATGCTATGCTCTGTTAGAATCTTTAAACAAACAAACAAAAAATCACACACTTAGTAGTCCATTTGTGCTTAAAATATTCATATGCGTGAGAAGCTTAAAGAAAAGACCTCTGTACATGATCATTAAAAGAAAGTTATACATTTTCTTCTTTTGAAATTGCACTGTTATTTAAACCACTTTCCTAAAGTCAAACCCTCTTTTTCAGCTGGCACAGTTTTCAGGTCTAATTGGCAACTTGAGGAGGCCCCTCTGGTATCAGTGAAGTGAAGAAGGTGGAGATAAAAGACCATGCTGAAGCCATCAACCCGGGCCTTTGCACTGCACTGGCATCTTCACCTGTATCTTCTCCACTCTCATCTTCAAGTCCATCATCCATAAGACGCTCCTTTCAAAAACATAAACACACTCTTGAGGAATTGGTACCACAAACACCAACTTATAATAGCAGAGGGGGGAGCTAAATACTTTCTATAGCAAGAAGAAATCTAAGTATGTATGGAAAATGGTAGATCCGGGGTGATCAGAAATCTTTGTGAAGTCTAAAATTAATAAATTCTGTGGTACATAAATAACTGCCAATATAATACATTCTCACCAAGGCGTAATTTTCTTTTGTAACTATGTTTATAGAGATGTTAATCTCTCCACTTATTCTAATAAATGATATGATATGCTAAATTCCTCAGATGAAACTATCACAGTTTCTATATTAACTTTTCTTCATGTGCCTTCTATAGATATCTGTGGAATCCAAGAATCCATCATCATTTCTGTCCCATATAGGACTAAGGACTATCTACCTATAAAATCCACACAAACATCAATAACCTACCATTTCCTCAAGTTCTAGGTTGTTTGCATTCTGCCCGTCGTTGTTAATGTCAACATTGTTAGGAACCTGTTGCTGGCCGCCTTCTTGCCTGAATGGGAACCATCCAGCCTGGTGTCTGCTCAGCAAAATGAAGAAAGTAAGCAAGCCACAATCACTTGTGTTTGTAATATTATAAAATAGTGTCCCTCAGGGAAACACTACTGGAGGTGTTCTAATAAATGATAAAAACAAGTATCTTACTTCAAGTCAGTGGATTTCTCAAGGTAAGTAGCAGCAAAACAAAACTCAATTCAAATCCAAAAGTCTATCTTGTACATAATTGGCTCAAAGTGACATATTAAACCACAAAATTATTTGGAGCTTTTTTCAAAATGAAATATAACTAAATATATTTCTTGGCCTCTTAGAGAAAAGGCAAGGCCAAGAAAAAAAAAAACAATCTACTTATGAAAAAAAGTGTGACCTATGTTTCTAGGACTTACTATTGATAAATATTACTTAAAAAAGTATTTATCATGTACTTGAATATACTAAATAACTGAATATACTAAATAAATCTGAATCATCAAATTAATAATTTATATAAAATACAATAATTAAATACTCTGCTTTTAAACAATTCTGATAAATATTATTACAATACCTCTGCCATTGCTTTTGGTTATCATGAACACGTTGAATACATGAAGGCCAATATTAAAAATCTTTCATTCTAACTGACTACATTATGCTAGAATCTGTGATAAACTCTTTCAGAAATAATTAAAAGAAACCACAAACAGTTAATATCCATCACTCACAAATAAACCAGCAGCATGGCTCCCATTACCATGATAAACCGACTAAAAGAAGAGTAGAAGTATACGATGCTGAGGAGAACTGCAGCTCGCGAGAATGTGTACACCCAGTCTAGCCAGTCGCGGTTGAAGTCCTCTTCGTTTAGCACTGGTCCCCCCTGTGCATTCATCTGAACATTCTCATTCATGGGCCCATTTTCTTGGCCCACTAGGTTGGGAGCTGGTGGAGGCTCTTCTCCAGGAACATGTGCCAAATTTAAAGGCGGTGATGCAGTGGGGTGAATTGGGTTGGCACTTGATGAGGCCTGAGCTGTAACTGCAGCTTGACTGAAATATTCACCAAAATATTAAAAAGAAAAAAAAACTTTACCATATTATGCATTTTTAAAATGTCTTAGATAATGCAAAATTTTTATAACCCTAATCTTGACTATCACACTCTTGCTCTGTGTTTCTCAGGAAGCAGTTCCCAGTGAAAAAGTGGGGCTAAGGAAGAGCATTCTCTTAACCTGGCCACCTAAGACCACAGCAGAGAGGAGGAGGAAATGATAATGGCCATGTTCACATTCTAGTAAACGGTTTACAAGCTGACAGTGAGAAACTACAGATTTTTCCGTTAATAGCTTCCTTTATTATTCTACATGGAATGAACATCTCGAAGCTAGCGACTTGCCCTCATGCCACACTCTGACATACTTGTCTAAATATGGGTTTAAACATCAAATGACTCTTGGATAACCACTCCTCAACCCCAATCATAGTTTTTGGGCAACTCCATTTGAGGAGTTTTGTCACCTGAGGAAGAACTGTGCCCTCTAAAGTGCTGTTAATGTGATTATGTAAGTCAACAGATAGCAGGCTCAGTGGGCTATGGCGCCTGTCACTGAGCCTAACCACCAGAGTGTGATTCCTGGAACTCACACGGTATAAAGAGAGAAACAACTCCCACATGCTTCCCTTTGCTTCTACATGCGACACAGTGTGCACATGCACACACACACATACACACACAATAAAAATGGGCAATTTTAAGAAATTTTATTTTTTTTAAGTCAGAAAAAGGGCTGGGGACGTAATTCAGTTAACATAGTCCCAATCTACCACAAATGAAAACTCTGCACTCCGTGTCTAGCACCACATAAAAGTGGTATGGTAGCACGCATGTGCCTAAAGTACCAGGATTAGGGAGGTGGAAGCTCTAGGAACAACAGTTCATGGTCATCTTTGGCTAAATAACCATTTTGAGACCAACATGGGCTACATGAGACCCTATCTCACAGAGAAAAACAAGACTAGAATAAGTTGTTTATTACAGGTTCCCCTAAAAACAAGGAAAAATTGTAGAATGAGATTGACATGATTTTGTAAATACTGAAGCTGAAACATGTACATAGAGATTCATTTTACTATTTTTTATTGCTTTACTATTAAGTATTTTTAAATGCTTAAATTATATAGTCAACACAGCTAATGAAAATTAAGGAAATGTTCTCTGGGTATAAATTCCTATTTAAACCAAGGAGCCAAAGTTTAGATGCTCTGAACTTAGAGCAGAAACAATTACTCTATAGGAATCTCCCAAGTAAGCAGTGACACAGGAAACACAGAAGGTAAAGGACTCATCATCATGAATGAGAGAGTCAGTAATTGCAGCCACAGAAGAAAGAAATCTAAGAGCACTGCCCAGGACAGATTCCTGGGTGCCAACAGGCACAGAGTGGGTGGGTAAATCTGCCAAAGTGAGCCAAGATTGTTACTGTTAAAAAGAAGGGAGAAAATGATGAGAAAAAAGAGGAGCAAAACAGGACCACAGAAACCAGATAAGGACACAACACAGCAGCTGTCAGTAAGGATGGGAGTACGGGATGAGGATGAATGAGAGAAGAAAGCAGAGACTTGACTCACTGACGAGGCGCCTAGTTCCTCTGGTCACAGTCAAGAATGAGTGCAGTGACCATATGTGTCACATTGAGCCCTACACTTCCTAGGGCCCTTTTCCTTTGACTTTTTAGTCTCCACGTAGACTGCAGTCTTTCAGGGAAACTCTCTTCTTGAATTTCTATACCGTGTTTTAAAAGTATCTAAATATTGAAAAATCAAGGGTAAGAAAAAGGGGCTAAGACCCAAGCAATTTGAAATAAGTATCTTCTGAGAAGTTTATAAATTCTTACTCAGTAATTTTGAAGTATGACAGAAACAAATGCAATCCCAATTCAACTTAGGGTAAAGGAACATTAAGCCATTAACAGAGAAGCTAAAACAATGAATTCAGACAGACTTACTATTGCATATAATACTGATGAGCATACATCTGCTGCCACCACAGCATCTGCAGTGGGCTGAGAGCAGGGTACACTGGAAACCCAGGTGGCACAGCTTGCCCAGGAAACTGGTGGTCCACATTTCTGCAATCAAAAATAAATGAAGCCTTTTAATGTGTCAAAAGCTAAAAAAAAAAAAATCCCTCTGAACTTATTTATGAACTCTAAGTCAATCACCGACAGAGTATTTTTAAATCTTACTGAAAAGATACTGTTTTTCAACATTCCTCAAATAACACAATATATCTTACCTCAGTTGGCCCTGGACTCAAGTATATAAACAAAATAAGTCATCCACAAAACATGGAGTTAGCGTGAACAAAGTAAAAAAAAAATTAATTTTTAAGTACATTCTTTTTAAAAATCAAAGATACAAATCAAACTTCGTGACATATTATTTTGAGGAATAGGTCAGTCAAGCAGTAAAATTTTATTAAAGATACAGCAGACAAATAATTTAAAAAACAAACATTTCAAATGTAAGCTGTCATTTAAAGAGCCAAGAGTGAATAACATACTTCTAAATTTCTGTAAATAAGTTAAAATTCTATTAATTCAGTAAAACTTGTAGAAAGTCATGATTAACTTCCTTATGCCTCAGTTCCCCTAATTTTGCAGGGGACTCTTCCTCAGAACGTTGCTACAGTGTACTCAGCAAACACCAGTGTTGGGATTTGAAAGCAAACGTTCCAGGCAGGCTCGTGTATTTCAACACTTGGTCCCCAGCTGGTGGCACTGCTTTAGAAAGTTATGGAACCCTGAGAAGAGGCAGTCCTGCTAGAAAAAGTGAGTCGGGGTAGGGGTAGGAGCTGACTTTAATGTTTAACAGCCCAGTCCTACTTCCTGTACTTTCTGTGTTTCCTGACCCTACTGTGATCAGCTACCCAACACTTCTTGCCTTTCCCACCATGACGTATCCCTTCAACTGTGAGCTAAACAAAACCCCTCTTTCTGAAATTGCTTGTCAAATATTTGGTCATAACAAAGAAGAATGTTTCAGTGAGCCAGTTTGGATTTAATTAATCACCCCTTAAATAAGACTATAATTCCAAAATATGTAATATAAGACTTAGCAATAAAATGGCTCCTAATGATATTCTGCTATACATCCCATTTAGGACTGAGTCCCATGGTCTCTCACTCTCTGCATTTTGTTGTGGGTGTCTGTGTTTGTTCCCATCTATTGCCGGAGAAAGTCTCTCTGATGACGGGTGACCTCTAGTCTACACATTTGTGCACACACATACAAACACACACACACACACACACACACACACAGTCTAGAACGGAAGGCAACTATTAAACATATATTGCCAAGAAAAAAAGCAAATGCCTCTAAGATGATCTTGATATGCTATTTCCCTATTTGTTTAATACTATTAAACATGACTGAAATATGTAATCATTAAAATACCTTCTGGGCTCAAGTTAGCATACTGTAATTCTCAGTTATGTTTACTGACTTTTAGATAAGATGTTAATGTTCAGCACTCTCCAGGAATCAAGAAAAAAAAACTCTTTTGATACTAAATGACAGTATTATTGAAACCTAAAGGAATAAAAAAACTAATAAAAATTTTCATAACTATAGTAATTTGAATGAGAATGGCCCAAATAGGCTCATATATTTGCACGCTTAGTCCCCAGTTGGTGAACTGCTTGAGAAGGATTGGAAGGTGTGGCCTTGCTAGAGTAGGAGTGACACTGTTGAAGAAAGTGTATCTCTTTGCGGCTAAGAGTTAAGGCCCAGTGTCTCTCTGTCTGTCGCCAGTAGAACAGGGTGTAAAGCTCTCAGCTACTGCACCATCACCATGCCTGCCTGCATGCCACCACACTCCCAACATGACAATTGACTAAGCCTCTGAAATTGTAAGCAAACCCGTAATTAAATACTTTCTTCTATAAGAGTTGTCTTGGTCAGGGTGTCTCTTCACAACTGAAACCCTAACTAAAACAATAATTTAAATACTTTGGATACAATGCCATTAAGCAACAAGTAAAAGAAATTTTCCACACTAAGAAATATGATTATTAAATTGCTGGCAGAAAAAAAAGGAGTTCTAAAAGTTTCACCTTTTCTATATAGTCAAGTATTCTAAAATACAGTACTGAGTTAAATTACAGAAAACGCAGCAGAAATTGGCAGCTTAGAAAAAGCTGTTTTTAATAATCACTAACATCTTTTACATACAGAGTTCCTAGAAATAATTATCATTAGGACACCAAATACAAATTAAAGCAATGATAAGCTTTTGTTTGTTTCCTAAGTTAGAAGACACTAAAAATATCTATCAATATTTCAGATCCTGTTGATCTCTAGCAACACACACACACACACACACACACACACACACAGCTAGTACTGACTGTGAAATCCAACTCTTTCATTGCTAGTGACAGTATGAACTAAAATAAACTTTTACAGAACAATTTCTAAAAAGTAAAAATGTTCTCATATCTCTTTGTCTAAGTAATTCTGCTTTTGAAAATATGCTTACAAAAGTAGCAGATATAAAAATAAAAACAAAACTTCACATCTTTTTGCCTTGGAGTCAAGGTTACAACACTTGTCATACAGCCTCCTAACACTGCCAGCATCTGTTCTCACTAACAGAGACACACTGGACACTATGATAATATGCCAACATAGAGATCCCTGGCACTCACCGCCCTGTCTGAGGGTGTTTGCTCTCTGACCTAGCTACACTGACCCATCTGTACATCTAGGAATCCATTCAGTCAAAATATAACAACAAAAAAGGATGCACGCATAAGTTATCCATTATGCAACTATTTAATAGCAAGACTGGAAATAATTCAAATATTTTTAAATAAAAGAGTAGACTTTATAACCATGTACTTACTGAATTACTATGTAGCTATAAAATAATTAGTATCTCTTTATATATCTTTGAGTGATCTCTTCAATATTTTCTTAAGCAGGATATAGAAAAATATGTATAAATGCTCCTATTCATGTTAGAATGAGGAGGACAGGGGGCTGGAGAAACAGCTCAGAGGTTAAGAGCACTGGCTGCTCTTCCAGAGGTCCTGAGTTCAATTCCCAGCAACCACATGGTGGCTCACAACCATCTGTAATGAGATCTGGTGCCCTCTTCTGGCATGGAGGTATACATGCATGAGGAACATTGTGTACATAATAAAAAAAAGAAACAAAAAGAATGAGAAGAATATACTTGAGTAAATTCAAAGAAGTTTTCTTGAATTTTCCACCAAGAAGTAATGGAAAGATAAATTAAAAACCAATGAAGGCAATAAAAGAATAACAAAATATGAGAGAACAGGGGAAGCAGAATGAAGTAGGTCTCTTGAAATGTGTCTGAATAGGAGACCTATAACACTGTGTACAACTAAGGAAAAATGCTACTCCATAAGGAAAACACAGCAAGCTGTAATAGCACAAAGAAACAAACCTGACAATAGAATTATTGTATGGCTTAAACTTTTAAAATTTTTCTTAGGCTTATTTATGTATATGAATGTTTTGCCATGTATGTGTGTGTACTACACATGTGCCTGGTACCTACAGAGATCAGAAAAGGGTACCAGAACCCCTGGAAGCAGCATTATAAATGTTTATAAGTCACTATGTGGGCTCTGGGAACTGAATCCAGGTCCTCTGTAGGAGAACAAGTATTCTTAATTGTTGAGCCATCTCTTCAGGCCCTAAAATAATATTCTTAAAAAGACTTCCTCCACTGTCAGAGATCTTAAACATCCTCCTGGTCGGTTATTTGGAAGCAATTCTTTGCATAATCAATAAACTTGACTTTCATTTTGGAAAGAACTAACTTTTTCTATATTTGCTTAAATTTTTGCTTTAATGTTTTCTATAGAACTAAGTTCTCTGATGTCTTAGGAACTTTTTCCTGTGCTTTGTTGTTGTTGTTGTTCGGTTTTTTTGTTTGTTTGTTTTTGATTTCTTGTCTTTATTTTCTATCTGATTTGATTTTGTGCCTTTTTGGCTGGAGCATGTCATAAATTTCTTCATCAGAGCTTTTTCTTTAGTTTCTTCATAAAATGATCACCATTGTATTTCAGACGACTAAGCTTTTTGCATCCTCCTCCTCCATCTTCTGACTCTATATGTCTGTACACAGACAGCAACTAAGTGCTGGCCACTATGCACAGTGAAGCACAGTTCAACCTTAATAACACAGGCACTACAACTATAACCTGGTTCAACCTTCTCATCTTCCCAGATGGAAGTTAAGTTCCAGGCACCACAAACCATCCTCATCACTATGCTCTCTGTCCATGATGGCTATTATCCTCTTAAGCCATGAGCCAAAATAATCAACGATCCCAATTGAAATTCCAATATCATTCTTTACAAACAGGAAAACACCTAGAATTTTATGTAGAGGCACAGAAGACCACAGCATTGCCTTATGACCCAGCTACACTACTCAGGGTTTATACACAAAGAACTTCATATCCTACTACAGAGACACTTAAACTATTGCTCTATTCACAACAAAAAAAGAAATGGAAACAATCTAGATGTTCATCAACAGATAAATGAATAAGGAAAATGTGGAATTTACACACAATGGAACACTACTCTGCTGCAAAGAAAAATGAAAGCACAAATCTGCAAGTAAATATATGGAACTAGAAAAACATACTGAATGTGGGAGCTCAGGCTCGGAAAGACAATGGCACATGTTCTTTCTCATTTGCAGATCTCCCTCAGTTTGCATACTTAATTTGGAACACAAGAGGGAGCCAGGGAAGTAGAAAGAAGTCTTGGGTGGTTGGGGGAGAGGGAAGGATGCGCAATAAAAATGGAGGGATAATGGAGTATAGGTAGAACATAAGTAGTGAGGGGAGAACTAAGGGTGGGAAGGCTTAAGCAGAGAGAAATGTGGGAGTATGGAGAAAATCAGGGGTGAAAAAGAGAGCTGATCCAAAGGAAGAGGATATCACAAGCCACAGAGGAGCTTACTATCACAAACTCAACTTTTATAACCAGTGAAGGGAATAGTGGGGCACATGTGAAAAGAAATGAGGTATACTGAGTTAAAAGATGAAGCAGGGATGGGGAGGGGTGTAGGAAACGAGGAACAGAAGGTGGGCTAACTAGAACTAAGAATACCTGAAAAAATATTAGGGAAACCCACTAGTCAGTAAGCTAATTTCAAAATACAAAATATAACTTAAAAATAAGAATTCAAACGAAACTACTCTGTACAGTGCCACTCCCAGAAGACATGGGTTATTAGATGAAATTCTCAATACAAAGCTTGGGATATCTCCCTACAAGTTATTGGTCAAAAAGGACCAAATGCTTCCAAAACAATACAAGTTATAGGCATTGTGCTTACCCTCCATAACTACATGGTAAGACATTATTATTAAAGACAGCACATAATTTGATGGCAGGACATACAGAAATCAATCTCAAACTAACCAGGACACATCCTCCTTGCTTGGCTAGCTTTCACAGTGCCAAAAGGTACTGTGCAGTCTACTGTGGGGGAAAAGACACCAATGGTCTTTCGAATCCTGGACCATGGGCCCTGCATGCTATAATATGAACCTTCAAAACAAGCTATGTATACTGGTACAAGAAAAGCGTGTTATGAGGTAACTAACTGCTTTCTCATTGATTTGGGGCCTGCTCTACATTGAGGGAAGTCCCTGGTCAAAAGTCCATAGCTGGGAAGATCACAGGCCCTGGAATAGAACGTGCTATTGTATTTTGCTAAACGACCATGCTGTTAAATTGCCTTCTAAATATTTAGTTTTGTACCTGTAGTCCTGGGCTGCTCTTAACCTTGGTCAAAGAAACTTCTCAGTGACCAGCAGTCAACAGAAGGATGTACAAGTGCCGACAGTAAAGTCTGACTGCTCACTCTAACTGGGACATCTATATTAACAGCACAACAACAGCTAGGTTAAAGCAGCATCTCGAAAGAGGAGATAGAAGGAACGTAAGAGTTGGGGTGCGGGCTGGGGATTGCTACAAACCAGTCTTCTGGACATAGCAGCTGTAGCACAAGACTTACTTCATAAGATCAACCCAACAAAAGATCTTCAGGCAAAACCCCTTAGGAATTTTCTGACACTACTGACATTGATAGTTGCTGGGGTCTGAAGAACCATTCTTTATAGAGAATATGGCTGCTACTAGTTTCTCATGCTGCAGTGGATGGCCCCATACCCATGTATATATGGACAGCACTAACTGGACTTAGTGAATTTTTCAAAAAGCAAAACAAATAAATACATGAAGTTGGGGAAGAGGGCATGTATGGGGAACATGGGGCTAAATTACAGGTGATAAATATTTCATTATGAACATGCACAAAGTTTAAAAAATATTAAAACAATTTGTCTATTCAATCAGCCAACCTACTAGATATTGTTATATAATACACTTAGTCAGCATTTACTATTTTTTGCTACTTTCTGTGTTTGTTGTTACATTTTTTTTAGCTTCTCACTTTCAGTAATTATCTAATTTTATTTCTGTTACATCTGCTTGTGAATAAAGCATGTGAAAATACTTGAAAAGTAAGTTTCAAATGTACTTTAATAATCAAAAAGATGCTTCAGTAAAAAAAAAACTCTAAAGTAGATTTGTGTGTGTGCACGTGTGTGTGTGTGTGTGTGTGTGTGTGTGTGTGTGTGTGTGTGTGAGAGAGAGAGAGAGAGAGAGAGAGAGAGAGATTTTATAGGGCCCTAATTATGACCCATACTTTCACTTACCCTTGGATTACATATGGAAACTGATGACTCTGAGCTGGGTCAGTCTGTGCTTGTGGAAGGGTACGATGCCTCAATCCTTCTGAAGAACCAGCAACTAATGACAAATTCTCTTGACTGGGGGATGGAGTTGTTGAATCAGAGTAATCTGAATTCTAAAACAAACAAAAAATGTAAGTATAGGTATGGTATTCATAAGTATATTTAATAGAAAAGCCTAGCTATATGTCAACACACCTTAAGTTCTCTAAAACTTATTACTTCTCAGCATATTAGGTAATTCTTTTATGATTAGATTTTTTTTATTATTTTCAAACCTTTTTGAAATCTTTAAACCATAAAAACGTAGGGCAAATTAAACTTATTTCTCCTTTAATACTTTTTATATTTTCATAACACTCTGAAAAATATATATATGCTAACGACATAAAATTACGGCCAAGAAACCACTGGCTCAGTAGGAAAAAAAAAACAAAAACTTGAATATACTTGTACCAAACTGCATTTAAAAAAAATCTCTGTGCTAGTCTGGAATTTGTCCCTTTTTATGCCAAGGTAGGAAACATATAAAGATTCATATTCAATTTAATGTAAGGTCAATTCCCATGGCTGGTACCACAGAAGACACACTGAGTAAATAAGCAATTTAAGGATGTATTTCTTAAAGAACCAGTTATCTAATATATATTAGAAGATCTCTTAGGTAATTTACCCTATTGGTTACACCTGCCTTAAAATTTGGATTGAATTCTTTTTTCTTTTTTCTTTTCCTTTGTGTTCCTCAAGGCAGGGTTTCTCTGTGTAGCCTTGGCTACCCTGGAACTCACTCTGTAGACCAGGCTGGCCTCAAACTCACAGATATTCACCTGCCTCTATCTTCCAAGTGCTGGTATTAAAGGTGTGAGCTACCATAGCCTAGTTGATTGAATTCTTAACCAGGAAAATACCTTTAACACAATCAAAGTTCCCTGCTTCAGCAAGAAATAACTAAAGGAAGCTTCCATGATCTCCATCCTCTCACCCTAAAAGCTGGATGAACTCTTACAAGCTTCCAAAAGAATTTCAGGCAGAAATGAGCATTTAATTATGTAAGAGATAAATATATTAAGTGAGTCTCCTCTGCTCTTCATTGTGAATCCAGTGATTAAAAAGCAAAACCACCAAAACAAACAACAAAACCCCACAAAGTCTTCTGCCAAATAATCTACCTTAAGAAAATTTAGGTCATTTAGATTAAAATAATTTAATTGCTTTGAATAAAATATACTACACTTGGTACCTTACTATTTCTTAAACTTCACTAGCCTACGATTTATATTATATAACCACATCAACTCTGTTTCCAGAGTATTTCAGTAACTAAATCTATAAAGATTGGCTCCATTGCTGACCTGTCCATTAATCAAATTATAGCTCATGGTGAACAAAATATTGTAAGCAAAGTAACATTGTATCAAAAATAAATGCTAAATGTCATAGTCTTTAAGTTTTCCAAACTACCTCACTAAGTGTAGTGGCAAAGTCTTCTATCCCAGGAACTGTGAAGCAGAAGCAAATGGATCAAGGACAGTCTCAGCTACACACCGTGAATTCAAGACCAGAAAGCTTACATGAGACCCGCTCTCAAAATATCAAATGAAGATTAGAAATAAAACAACGCTAGGGACTCCAAGTGATCCATCTGTTTTATTCTTGTTTTGTTTGCACATTTGTTCTCTGCTGTGACGAGGACTGACCCAGAGCCTCACATATGCTAGCCCGTGTTGTACTGTGGAACTACGCCCCAGCCCTCCATTTAGTTTTTAGGACAGATAAAGAAAATAAGAGAAGTTCAATGTTTACTCCTCTCAAAACAACTCACAGAATTGGTGCTAGACGCCAGTGCTTCATGCTCTTCTCTATTAGTGATGGATTTTGGAGAACTGGGAGGACTCCGAGAAGTACAGACTAGATGAACCATATGATACTCATCTTGCTAAAATTAAAGAAGATCATATTTAAAGAAAAATTTACAGTTCAAAAAGTCACTAGCTAAGCTAAAGTATTGGACTCAAGACTTAAAAATTCCTTTCCTTTCTAGCCTAGTCATTTTGTTAGTAATAAATTGTTCAATATTTGGAGGTAAGTTTGCTATTTTAATACTTTGTAGCCTTCTGTATGCAATATTTTCTATCCATGCTTAAAGAATGGTTTCAATACTCAATAATTATTATGTTAAGAGTACTTGGCATACATAGATTTGAAGCAACAAATATTATAAAATATTTCATAATAAATTTTATTACTTTAATAATAAAAATTATCAACACAAACTATTAATTCAATATAAAGCATATAATGTCTTAATAACAATGTAAGAGTCACCTTGAGATTTCAGACCCACAAACTCTGAATAGCAGAACTACTTCAATTACTTGAAAAATACCGATAAAAGCAACTCAATCTCTTTTACCTTAATTTTAGCAAAGTGAAGTACAGCTTTTTACTGCTTTCCAAACTAAGTCAACGTTTTTTATCTATAACATTTATACACACAGATATAGAGCATATATTTGAATTGTACTCTGTAAATATTCCATATTATTTCCACAGATTTACAACTGTGGCTGAGAAAAACATTTTAAATAACGAGGCTGGTCTTTATGCTTTAATGAGATCACACAGAAATTTATACAAGACATAAAGCTGGTAAGCTAGAAAACATGATGGCAGCAGACAACAGAGGAGGAGAGAGCTGGGTCAGCATTTCTGAAGACCTATGAAGAGCAGCAGCAGCAGCAGCATGGTGAAGGGTGGGTGGGCAAGAACCAAAGAGAGATGCCTGAGGTGAGGAAGGGAAGACCTGATCAACTACCAGGAACCCAGACTTGTGCTCAGTTCTGAGGTGAATTCCAGGAAAGTAAAGGGCAGCCTTAAAGGCACTTATGATACTGTTAACTGACCAAATTAGTGCATTCGGGCACACAACAAACCAGTGCAATGGGGCACAATGAGAGACACACATGAACATATTCCGCATAAAACTGAAAAATCTAAACTACAGTTGCTGTAGGGTCTAGAGGATGAAGTTCTTGGGGTTCTGCTGTTTAAGAAAAGGCTTCAGACAGACGGCATGACATAGGCAGTGTCTCTGACACACAACAGACAGACGGCATGACATAGGCAGTGTCTCTGACACACAGCAGACAGACGGCATGACATAGGCAGTGTCTCTGACACACAGACTCAGCTTCTGAACAGGGAATACTGAAGTATCCAATGTGTATCCCCATAAAACCAGGACCAAAAGGTCATACTAATAACGGTTTATCAAAACATCCATCCACCGTTGAGGAATATATCTATAAAACATTTTATAACTAAACAGTTTGTAGAACCAATACCAACATTTTACTGAAAGGAAACCAACTTTAAGAGAAACAATTCAAAGAACCATTTCAAAAGTAACACTTCCCAAGGTGCTTACACAAGATCTGCAACAGTCTTTTGAGAATATTCATGTTCTGGCCTCAGGCTGTTATTCAAAATATTTCAGAGAGCAGAACATATAGCAGTTTTAAACAGGAAAACAATGTTCAGGACAGCTCATTGGTAGAGCTCTTACCTAAGCAAGTGCAAAGTCCTAGGCTGGGGATGACCCCAGCACCAGAAAAGTAGAAAAAAAGAATAGGTGAGCTCATTTTAGGACTATTCTATATAATACTATAATAGTGGAAACATGTAATTATACATTTATCAAAATCCACAGAGTATGCATCACCTAGATAACTCTTGAGTATGTCCACTGATCACAACTATGTATGATCACAAATATGTATGTCCACTGATCACAACTATGACGGCTAAAGCAAGCTATATATTAGGGGAAAGTGGATGAGAAATCTCTGTGCTATATAATATTTTTTAGGTGGGCAGATGGTAAAACACTATAGTCATTTGAAACAGGCAACTGAACAGTCAGAAGTCACACTGGCAAAACTAAAAAGGCCCTTAAGCAGAGAAATGCACTGACATTACATCTTACGTGTCCCATAGGTGATCATAAACAGAATAAAAGATATAAGGAATATCTGCATTAAGACTTCAGTTAAAAAGCCAAAGCCAAACACAAAATAGAACACTATCCAATCTTGCTATATTCACAACAAAAAGTAACATAGCAAGAATAAAAAGTTATAAAGTAAAAACTTAACAAAAAAATAATGAGCTAAAAGATGCCATTAAAATAATTAGCATTCAAGTTGACTGTCAAAAGCTACCTTGGAGCATACGTAGCACTGTCGTTGAGCATCAGCGTTTAAATTCTGATTAACAGGTATGCCACTTGGCATCATCCTATTTCCTTTCTTGAAATTAAACTCCTATCTCAAACCATTAAAAATGTTATATATCCTGATTAAAAATGGTCTTATAGAGATGTTATCAATCTTTGAGCACTGTAAACACTCTATACTTGGAGTACTGACAGGTCAGTGTTTTCTTCTAAGAGATGAAAAACATCTGAACAAAATATTCAGATTTAGCTCAGATGGGCCTACAACACTGTTAGCCAAACAACCTTTATGCTCTGCCTTGTTGTTACATTCTGACTCACTGTATCTGTTCTGCTACCCACAGGGCTTGATGAACTCAATCTGCTAGACAAAACTTGAGAGACAGTTTCTCCCACTCTTCTGAGGTAGAAGCAGAGCTTACTTTTCTGAGAATGTCTTTCAGCTGCAGATGGTCAGGAAGCAGTCGGCCGGAATACACCAACCTCTGGTCCTTTGTCAACTAGAAATGGGATGGAAGAAAGAAGTCAGTTTTTTAATTATATATATTTAAGATTAGGAAAAACATGACCAAATGTGGATAAAACTAAACTCTCTTTGGGGACAAGTAAGAAGAAAACAGATATTTTAAGAACTTGAGTCCCAAGTTCTGCTTAAGGCATTGAAGAGCTGAGCAAATGGCAGCATATCTATAATAATAATAATAAATACATATCATCACATAAAACTTGACAAAAAGATAAACATGTTTGTTTTATCAACTGTAATGTAGCACTCTTAATTAAAAGCCTTCAATTTCATATAAATGGAAAGGCAAAGGGCCTTCCATCAATAGATATTAGAAGATAAATTTTCAAGATCACTAGTTATTTTGAACTGATTTGTCAGTTATTTTTTTTGATATAAAGTATATACAGACCCATTTTCTTCCTTCCAAACACAGTGCAGAAGAACTTACTGGCCTTAGTTTGAAAGTCATTTAGATCTAATGGGAGTTCCCATAACTATCCCAGCTTTGTTTCTGCCACTTACAAATATCTACACATTCAAAACCGCAAAACCAAAGAAAGCAAGACAAATGCATGGAGATTCAGTTGTTACCTCTATAGAAAGTGTGTTCTGGTTGGCTCTGTTACATTTCAGTACTTCATAGTAAGTCTGCTAAAGTTCACACTGCTAGCATTATTTAAAATTAGTGTGTTTCTGTTAGTCCCCATAAAGCATATTTGCAAATGTTCCTTGAATTCCATGAAAACAATTCATTTACATATATCAAATGTTAAATCCAAAATCCAATCCAAGCCATAAATATAATTTTAAACTGTATTTTCAGCAAGGCTATGACAAGAGCCATATATTTGAAAGTCATAATAGAAATTATTATGCTGAGTGACATGGATAGTTCAGGCATTCTCAGACACCAAAAGACACTAGAGAAATACAGGTACCCTTCCAAGATACTTAACTGATAGACAAGACTTTTAGTGTGCCATTTCTAAAATGCAAAATGCAAATTCCTATATTATAAAAAATATAAAAGTTTTTTAATGCCAAGTCTTGAAAACTCTAACCAGCACATAAAAACTAAACAGCGCTCCCTCTATATACATTTGATTTTCATTTCATTTCCTGCCACTTACCCTCCCTCCCTAAAACCCTTAAACTCTAGATTTTGCTTGCTAATAAAGTAATTAGTATCTAGAGAGCAAAAGTCTTGGAATGGGGCTTGGTTTCAAAGGGAACCAGCCCCGTGATTAGAGTTGTCACCTCCTGTCCCAATCTCCAGAAAGAGGGTCCTGGAGTGAGAAGTCCTTCTGTAGATGTATTGCTTTTATTGTTTAATGAATAAAGAAACTACCTTGGCCTGTTGATAAGGCAGAGTAGAACTAGGTGGAGAAAACTATACTGAATGCTGGGAGAAAGAAAGCAGAATCAGGAGAAACCATGAAGCCCCTCCAGAGACAGACGCTGGAACTTTACCCAGTAAACCACAGCCTCGTGGCAATACACAGATTAATGGAGATGGGTTAATTTAAGATATGAGTTAGCCAGAATGATATGCTTAAGCTATTGGTCAAACAGTATTGCAAATAATATGGCTTCTGTGTGATTATTTCAGGGATGAGCAGCCAGAAACAAACAAGCAGCCTCCCTACAACATGGTCCATTTTGAGTTAACCATGGTCAGTGAGTTAATCAATCATATCTATTTTCATTAAAGTCCAAAAGGATTGAATCACAAGAGTTTCTAGATAGCTAACTTGAAATTTAAAAACTTATCAAATTAATTTCTCTTTTTAAATAAAAGTGTTTAACAATTCACCACCACCCTCCTCCCATACTATCTCTATTCTCTATAGTAAGTAAGTAAGTACAAGGAAAGTGTTTCTCCGAGTTCTGTGAACTACTCTATCAAATTAATCAAACCCAAGACGGGAATCTGAAGAAGCCCAATTTAGAACCAGTTGTTCAGAAGCACATGTGACAGCCTGGTAAATCCATGGAAAGAAGGAAGAGCAGGGCAGACCCATAGTACTTAAGTATGGGATTTGACAGTACATCTTCAGACGTGAGCTGAATTAGATGACACGAAATGTTCACACATTTTGGTGAGTAGAAGTCACAGAAGTATTTTGTATTGAACGCTGTGATACTAGGAGCAAGCAAGCTTCCTAATCTGTATCCTATAAGTAGTGAATGGCAAATATACATGTACACGTAAGTAATGAGTCAATACTTGACCAAATAAATCTAAAGTTCATTTTATAAGTGTAGGGGAAAAGGACCAGCCAAAGAAACACACCCTGATCCTGAAACTGGAGCCAAAAGGTTAAAAAGGGCCAGTGAAAGAAACACACTTTGACTCTGAAACCAGAATCAACGAAACAATTAACAGAGAGCACAGAAACTAACCAGTGCCTAAGCGTGAACCCAATCAATCCCTGAGCACAAAATCCAGTCACTCTCTGAGCTTGTCCAAGCTCAGGGATTGAAATCTGACCAAATTTTCACCTTGGAAAAACTCCACCCCTAAGAAGCCCTATGCTTGTTCAGTTTGCTGCTGCCTTTTTCACCCTGGCAGATGCAGCCACTCTCCTGGATTCCTCCCTCCCAATAAATCTCTTGAATGAGACTTGGGTGAGACCTTTCCCCCAGCAGAACCTTCTCCTAGGGAGAAGTTGTTACACCCTGTAACAATTCTGCCAGGAAACCCTCCCTGCTGGGGTAAAGTTGTTACTTTGGGGAAGTCTTTCCCTGGACCAGGGCCATAAAGTGGCTGTGCTTACAGTGGTTTTGTGGTATTCTTGGCTCCTCATTGACAGAATACTTTTTCACCCAAGCTGCAATGCTTATAATAAGTATTATAGCAGCGTAAACCAATATTTTTTTCACCAGACTAAACATTTAATTACTAGATACTCATGCTGTACCATCACTCAGCCTAAATTTGCCTGATTTTTTCTTTACTTCAATATAAAAATTATCTAACATATAGAGTGGATAGAATGAAAGGAATCACTACCATGTTAAAGAACTCTCAAGTACTCATCAACAACTGACATTCTTAATCCTCTTCCTCCCTACCCTCTTGAAACCTCAATGTTAGAAAAGATTACGTTAGAGCAAATGCATTTCTTTCCATGGCACAATCTCTAGGGTTTTGCTTCTGTTTTTTAATAACTACAGGACTGCCATATTAAACTATGCAGCTCAAATTTTCTCATTTCTTAGCGATGGTCTGAATCAAAATTCAAACAAGGGTCACACATGAGACTGAATTATGTCTCTTAATCTTTTTGTTATTTATGTTCTCAAACAACTCCTGTAGCCTAGGTAGGTTTCAAATTTGCTATACAGTTGCAGATGGCCTTGTCTTCTCATCCCTGTGTCCTATACAGCTGCAAAAGAGCTTGACCTGCTAGTCCTGTCTGTACTTGCTAAGCACTGGATTACAGGTGTGTGACACTGTGTCTTGTTATGTGAAGCTAGGGATCAAACAAACTCAGGGCTTCATGAATGCTAGGCAAACATTTTACCACCTGAGCTACAGCCCCAAATATTTGCACTTTCTTTTCATTTCTCCTGTGCATTTCTGAAAGAAGTCATTATCTGTCTTACAGTTACACTTTGTGTTGTTTGGGTCAACTGTATCCTCCTGGTACTCCATATTGTAGTAGTTAGGTGTGGAGACTAATCAGACTCGGGTTAAGGTTTGTGAGAGGAGTACTCTGTAATAAAGCTATGTACTTCCTGCACCATTAGCACAGGTAGATTAGGATGGTGACTTTTAGTGATACTGAGCTTCATCCGAGGTTCTGATGTTGCCAGACTGATCTGTCCTTTACAAACTTCCTATCTACCTTATTAATTACCTATATAGTTGCTCCAATCTTTTATTAGAAATAGCAAACTTGTTTTTCTAATTCCATAATTCCTTCTGTTCTTAGTATGATCATTCTAGAACCTATCTCATTAGCTAGTTGGTTACCCAGTCTACATGAGGAAAACTACCACAATGTGAACTACTTCCCTTTGTCAGTCTTTAGGGTGACTGCCCAAGCAGCCTCCTGCATGACCAGTGAGGTGTTGGTAATTTTTTCCTTAGTGTCATTATGAGTTCACAGCATTCTGTGTTTTGAACACTAACATTTTCTTTGTCTATTAATCCTCAGACTGCACCATTTTTGACCATTGGGAATCCCTAAGTTTACTCTAGCGTCATTTCACATGATCTCTGTCTGATCTAATAGTCTTCTTGCTTTAAGATATAATATGCCCCATGTTCAGCTTCTAGATTTTCTAATGAGGCCTAGAACTGCCACTGATCAAGTACCTAAATCTTTTTAATTGAAATGGTACCTGAAGACAAAAATCTGAAAATTTGTAGTACTTACTTTTGTCTTCAGTAAGCAAAGCTACAAAATAAGTTCTTATTTAAAAAAACAAAAAACAAAACAAAAACACACACAAAAACAAAACAAAAACTTAAGCCCTGAATTCAGACTGGTACTTTCTATTTCAAGTTTTTACTTATTTGTATCTTCTCTCAACTTTAAAAGTAAACTTGCTGATGGCATTTGTATGCTATTTAAAAACTGTTTTATTCTACTTATAATCTTAAAATAATAATCACAAGATTGTTACTAATAATTTGAATGAAATCTATAATTTCTTAAGACTTTTCCCTCCCTGTCCTAAGATACATACCACTAAGGACACAAAGTCAAAATAATGAGCTCACGTGGAAGCTACAATACCAACCTGACAAGCCAATCTACCACTGGAGCAGCAGTGCTAGACTGCTGCAGGTTCTGACTGCTGTGGCGACCACGCCATAGTAGTGATTCATACCTGACACTGTAAACCCGATGTAAGACTCATAGGCCCTAGAAGGGAATCCACTACTGTGGATTGCTAAATTTATCTGGCGTCAAACTGCCTTCTAAATATTTATGTTTACAATTGTAAATTAGCACTGTTCTCAGTCTTAGTCAGAGAAGT